CCCCAAAACCCCAAAACCCCAAAACCCCAAAACCCCTAAATTTTATAATAATATTGAAAATGAATGGTAAGAGTTGATCTTATGTTTATAGAAATACCAAAACCTTGAGAAGGGGTGCAAACTCGAGAAGAGGATGATAACAAGCAAGATTTGTTCACGAAGGGGCAAAGTCTGTCTGAATCTCTGCTTCAAATGCAAGAGAGTGTTAAGTCAGCTCACCCAGAAATATTTAAAGTGAAAATGCAAGCGAAGAAGAATGTTAGGACTATCTCCACAATGAGCAGCTCTAATTACGATAATTCTGATAACTCCAGTAATTTGGGTGGCAAAGCATTCAAGATTCCCAAGAAGTTCCACGAAGGAGACGTTCTTACTGAATGTGGTGATATTTCTGGCAACAAATTGATCAACCAACAAGAGCTCCCTCATTGTAGTAAGGATGATGAATGGATGGAGACCAAGCGCAATTCTGAAGAAGCCATGCAAGAGTACCTACAATTGATCAGAGATTCTCCCTTCTTGCTTAAGAGAAGCTTCCTGTATAATAGAGAAATTGATCAGATCAAGGATCAAGAGCAAGAGAATAATTATAACCGGGCTATTCAGAGTATTCGTAATCTTTTTGGCGATGAAGAAAGTATCATAGCTGATATGGAGCTCCATGAGGAGCCCGCACCAGTGAGTTTCTCTCCAGCCAAAGATGACCATTACTCCGACATGGATGACCTTCTGTCTAACCTTTCAGAGCCAAAGGGAAGGTACCATGATAACTTTGAATACGAAGAAAACTCTAGTATGAAAGATGATAGAGGTAAGGAAAAGGGATTTTTATTAGATTTTCATGCTCCATAAAAATTTAAAGGATACTAGCTTTGTTCTGACCTCTTCTGATATAGTCAGGCAATCTTCCCTTTTCATGAGGCTATGTTGCTACTGACTTGTATCGAGGCTCTATGTCCTTTGAAAATTGTGTTTTAAAATTTTACATTGATAATTGATATTCTTAAGTGCTATTTTGAAATTTACATTAAAATTACAGGAATTTCGTTGAAATTTTGGCTGATAAATTTGTGCTTGTATAGCAAATCTATTACTTAGTTTACCCTTTTTCATCCACATAGAATTACCTGCATCTATCTGTGCGATTCTGATACTAAATTTACCAGAACACCTAGTGAAATCCTATTTATGGTATTCTTAGTTAATGACATTAAGAAATGATTAAAAACAGAAAGAGAAGTAAAATAATTTCTGTCTGATTCTCTTCTCCTATTTCTTTTATGATATATCCTCTCTCTTCATCACAAAGGGATAGCTGTCATTACTTGTCTGTAAAACCTGTCTTCAGTTAGTTTCCGAAATTAATGGATTTTTGTACTTTCATGATCCTGAGGTTGCATCTTTAGCAATAAAACCCTAAATTTTTAAGATTTTAAACCTCTGCATCATAAATTCAGGAATCTCAGCTGGTAAAAAATTATACTGAAACAGTGAAATTTACTCAAGTCCCTCAGAATATCACATCTGGTTAAAATTTTAGCTTTTTTGGTCGAAATTTTCAAACTTTAAATAATTAGTCACCTGATTTTCTTCAAGAAGAGTTAAATATATAGCTAATTGGAACATGAGTCAGTGAGACAACAAGAGTTTATTGAGCCATTCAAGCTACACTGAGGATTTAGAGCCAGAGTTTAAGACCCCTCGGAAGCGCCCCTTAGGTTACGAGCATGGTGAAATGGTAAGGTTTCAGCTTTAATAACTTTATAGTCGCAAAATAGGGATAAGAGTAATTGCAACAAAGTCAGGTTTTTGAATAAGACCAGCCTTAAGATGCTAGAGGTAAGTTATTTATCATAATTATTCTTTAGGCCACTTATGATCAAGCCAAAGCCAACATGATGAGGAACATCTGCCAGTCTTACTCTGGTGCCAGAGGGTTATGTCCTATTTACGAAGCTGATGAACAAAATATTACAAGAAACGACCAGGTAAACTTCCTATACTGATTTGATAGCCTGCAGATATAAAAAGTAACTACTTTGGGTCAGATCTTGAGGAAGGGTGGTGTAAATAGCGACGAGATCTTGTCAGCAGATCTAGACTCCCAAATAAATGACATTTCCACGCCTGATGAGTCAATGAGAGCCCAAAGTGATAACTGGTCAATGATGTCTTACCCAATCACCTCGAATAAGGACAATAAGAGCTATATCAGCTCTTCAGGATTAGAGAAGAATTCAAATATTGAAGAGAATGACGGTACGAGTCTCTTAACCTAGCTTAGATTGCTCAAATGATGGAAAAATGATGACTCACAAAGACCAGGATGAAATGCCAGCCCCTCCAAAACGTAAGAGGAAGAAGTACCCCAACCCTGGCAAGACTAGCCGCAAGAGGAAGAGAAAACTCTACAAAAGAGACATCTCTGGCAAATTTATTTCAAATAAGCAGTATACAATCTTGAGTAATTTTTAGGAAGAAGTCCAAGCTATCTGAGAATGATCAAGCTGATGAAGAGGAAAAGCACATGAAGGTATCCACTCAGAGTTGTTCTAGCTCTCACGGCTCGGACCAAGTACCACTGATTATATATAACTTGTAGAAATCTGAGAAAATATAGCAAACTCTGCACCAAAGAAGAGGTAGGCTAAGCTTTGAAGCTCTAACCTTGTAGGAACTCTGAGAGCAAGAGTCTTAGGCAGGGTATGGCTAGTACTTCCCAGTTTCAGAAAAGAGAATGAAATGGCATTTTGAAGCCTCCCCCTATTCGTGCCAAAAATCTTTTATTTTCTGCAAAGCAACATTTGTTAGGCAGTAAGTCAACTTTTTTAAATTTTGGGTGAACCCAAGTCAGACTTCTAACGGCCTTATTTAGACATGATTGCACCTAAGACTAGGGCCGGAGATCTCCAGAAGGTTCCTATGGATGAACTGGCCTTCATCAATTATCAAAGGAACAAGCTTAAAGAGCTCCTATTGAATAAAAGATAAGAGCTGAGCGAAATTATTCTCTTTAAATCATAGATCAAGTAAAAATATTTGAGTTTCAAAATATTTGTGTCTTGTGGGCTAGCTTCAAGCTAATCTCGATTTATTGATAAACAGGTTCATTTGAGCTATTTCTCCCACTTTGATACTTATCCTAGACTTCTGTGTATGTCTTTGGGGTTTTAACAGGTCTTCAGCATCAAAATGTTGCTATACATAAGCTGCAAGTACCCTCCTCATTTCTTAAAAACGTTGTTTATTTCTAATGGAAAGTGGTTTAAATAGATGTAGGGTAAATACCTCATTTAGAAACATTCCTATGCTAAGTGATACACTAGTTTGGAAGTATTAAACCCCAATGAACCATCAAATCTCAAAATGATCCTTTAGATCTCTTGAGCCCACTAGACAATGCCTAGCCGAGTCCAGTTTGAGAGGTCCGATTTAAGTTCCACCAGATATGGCTCAACGATGCTCATCTTTCTGGGGTTTTGGGGTTTTGGGGTTTTGGGGTTTTGGGG